GTTTCAAAACAGAATTTTAAAAAGCCCAAGGGTACAGCTCGGTGGTGCAGTGCCCACCGGGCCTGCACAGGGCCCCAGGTTCAATCCCTAGAACTGCCCCAATCAAAAGGCATCAAAACAAACCAGTCCTTACGCCAGTGCACACTCTACAGATGGCCCAATCATGACCATGGCCAGAAGCTAACACAAGAGTTCCAGGCTGCCCGCGGGAACAATGCAAGCCCTCGCTGGGGTGTTGTTGAGGAAAAACCAGCTCTGTTGGACACCTGCTCATTTAAGAAAGATAATAATGTGTCCACTGTGAGCACGACAGGATAGGGAGGAAAATTATCACAACTCGTGGTGGGTGGCGCACACCTGTAATCCCAGCACTCAGGAGGCTGAGGCAGGAGGATCGCTGTGACTTTGAGGCCAGCCTGCACTATATATTGAGTTCAAATGCAGCCGGGACTACACAGTGAGATCCTGTCTCAAAAACTAAACTAAACTAAAAGGGTTAAAGAAATAAGTAATAGAAAAACCACAAGAAAGTAGTAAAATGCAATTAAAAAGGTCAGGAATATCTGATACCCAGTGAAACTTCTCTCTGTCTCTGTCTCTCTTTCTCTCTGAGACAGGGTCTCACTATGCAGTCCAGGCTGGACTTGAGCTCACTAGGTAGCCCAGGCTGGCCTCAAGCTCCCAGTGACCCTCCTGCCTCGGCCTCCCAAATGCTAGAACTGCAGGCCTGTGCCACCACGCCCAGCTTCTCTTGCTATTTTTGCACATTAACTTGCTTGTTCGGTTTGATATGGTTTTGTTATTTTGGGTTTTTTTTTTTGGTACCCGGGATCGAACTCAGGTCCTTGCGCTTGCGCAGCAGGCGGCGAAACCACTGAGCTAAATCGCCGGCCCTGGTTTGGTTTTTTGAGACAGGGTCTCTCAGCGTAGTTCAGCCTGAACTCCAGGCTACCCTCCTGCCTCAGCCTCCCTAGTGCTGGGATGACAGGCATGCATCACCACACTGGCTTGATGTTAACAATTCCGCACTTGGAAGGAAACATCTTCAGATGTGACTGCTTACAGTATAGCTATAAACCAGAGCACTGCAGAAGCTACCTGCTCTAGGATCTCTCATTTGAGCACTGGTCACTTATAAAAGAATAGAGCGACAGCATCCAGTTTTGTCTTCTTTTTAGTTCTATATAATTTCTTGTTTGAAATGAAACACATTTTAAGCCTTTTTAAGTTTCAAAGATTATGCTGCAGTTGCAAAATGTACTTCCTGCGTTATTAGCCACTTCCTCTTTTTCAATTTTTTTTTTTTTTTTTTTTTTTTTTTTTGCTTTCTACACTGTTACAGTGAGCTGTTCCTTCGCAGCAGTCAGACATTTTACACAAACCAGGAAGAAGGGGAAGCGGTGAGGAGAGCCACGTGGCCCATAAAACTGTCAAGCGAGGCTCCGCGCGAGTCTAAGGGCGCAGCTCCATATATGACCGCGAGCGCCAGCAGACGCTCCAAATGGTCAAGGAATTTCACACCGTGCTTCAGCTTTGGTCCACCCTGCCTGGAGCCCCCGAGCCCCGGAGCCGCCACATGGTCCCTACCCAGCGCTGCCCAACTGCTGGGCTTCCCTCTGGTCCTCCGGTCCTGGTCACCGATCACCCAGAGTGAATGCTGAGCACTGCCGGATCCCTCACTACAACCTCACTTTACCTTCAGAGCACCCTGTCACATCATCTCTGAGACAGAAAGAAGTACTCTCGCATCTGTTACTGTAATTAAAAACCTAAACTGTGCAGGGCGTGGGGGCGCATGCCTGAAATCCCGGCATTTAGGAGGCCAAGGCAGGAGGATCACTGAGAGTTTGAGGCGAACCCAGGCTACATAGTTAGCTCAAGACCAGCCTGTTGAACAAGGTAGCAAGACCCTGTCTCAAAAAAAAAGGAGGGAAGGAAAAAGACCTAAGCTGAGTGTGGCGGCACATGCCTTAAATCCCAGGACTCTGGGAGGCTGAGGCAGGAGGATCAAAAGTTCGTACCCCTACCTGGGGAATTCAGCAAGACCCTGTCTTGGAAGAAAAACAAAAGCCCTGGATTGTAGCTCAGTAGAGTGCTTGGCCAATATGCCCAACACCCAAAACAAGACAAAACAAAATTTTAAAAGCCTATTATTTCATCTTATCACACACTTCTTTAAATTCTATCTTTACTCATAAACGACTCAGGACTTTTTATTCTACTTCACAACAGGGACCACTACACAGAGCTTGAAAATGAACAATGTCCATCCCAGTACTCAAGAGGCTGTGGCAGGGGACTGCCATGAGTTAGGCCCAGGCCGGCCTGGGCTACACAGTGAGTTAGTTCAAAGCCAACCTGGACTACTCGGTGAGACTCTATTTCAAATTCTCCCAAACAACAAAAACAACAACAATAAAACTGCTAGGAGTCATAGTGCATGCTTTTAATCCCAGCACTGGGGAGGCTGAGGCAGGAGGCTCACTGTGATTTTGAGACCAGCCCCGGCTACAGAGTTGAAACCCTGTCTCAAAAAACCAGAAAGTAGGGCCAGCTCAGTGGTGCTGCTGCCTTCCTCAAAAGTGCAAGGTCCCAAGTTTGATCCCCAGGACCAAAAAAAATAAAATAAAAAATTAAATAAAATAAAATACATAAAGAACAACTAATATTGTCCAGAGCCAAATACTTTAAAAGGTCATATTATATAAAAACAATGCAAACTCCGAAGGAAATGGATACCTCTTCGTGGTCGGGGCTTTCATTTAACTTTCGGAACATTTCCTCAAATTGAGTTATGTAACGGAACTGATGATTAAGCCAGAGGTCGGCGCTCCGCAGAGCTCTGACCAACAGGCTTGGTGACTGAGCGGAGGAGGCCAGCACCGACCCTTCGGCTGCAATTCCAGGGGCAGCAGAAGCTGCGCTAAGTGAAACTGGATTCCTAAGAAAGGGAGGCAAGTGAGGCCGGCCGGGCCCCGCTAGACTCCTGCAGCTGCCCCACCCCTCTCGGCCTAGACGTGATGCCAGGGCCACCGTCACGCGGCAGCGGGGACAGGGGCTCATTCATCCGCGCTCGCGGGGTGCGTGCCACAGAACACTGGGCGCTGTGTCCGAGGATCAGTCCGCATTCCACGCATTTTGATAACCTTGCCCTTTGTGCCCAGCGCCGCGCTGCCAGCCGCGGCCCAGCGGACGGCGACGGTTCCAGTCGCTCCTCCCCGCAGGTCCAGCATGGCCTGTGCTACCCCAGCAGGGCGACGGCCAGGCCCGAGGTGAACTCTGTCGCAACACTGCCCAGGAGCTGCCGGGCGGCCCCTCCGGCGAGGTCGGCGGGTCTGAGCGGGAGGCCCGGCCACCCACGCCTGGCCAGTGGCCAGGGAGCACAGGGGAGGGGCGAGCATGAACCGGTACGGAGCTGCACAGCCCAGAAATCCCACCGCCAGTTACGGCCCTTCAAACTGACAGAGGGAAGAAAACGGAATACTTGAGAGCAACAGAGCATAGACAATCAGGCGGAGCAGAGCCCAAGTCCCTGGGCCTCACTCGGTCTCCCGTGTCTTGGGCCTGGAACTGCGGTACTCGACTTGTTCCAGGGTCCCTTAGGTCAGCACTTTCCTCGCAAAGCCTCCCACGCCATCCCTACCCTCACACTTGCAGGGGTCTTTTGCAAATAGCCCTGACCACAGCACACAGGACATTATCACACTGCACCCTGGGAACATGGACAATTCAAATGATAACAAAAATGCAAAGTCAAAGCTGGGGTAGAAGAAAGAAAATGTCAGAACAAGCAGAGGAAAAAAAAATCTTAGTGATAGGGGACTTTAGATAGCTCAACCAACAAGCTTGACCTAAAAATAAAAGTATGTAGACCTGAGGCTGAGGCAGGAGGATCCCTTGAGCCCAGGAGTCAAGGCTAGCCTGGGTAACATAGGGAAAGCCTGTCTAAAAAACAAAAAATATATAAAAATAAAAATGTGTAACTGTAACTAAGGATACACGTTCTTTTAAATTATTTACACAACATTTATAAAAACTGCCCAAGTGCCAGGCATAGTGGCACACACCTGTAATCCCAGCACCCTGGGAGGCAGAGGCAGGAGGGTTACAAGTTTGAGTCCAGCCTGGTCAACGTAGTGACTTAGCAAGACCCTGCCTCAAAATAAAAAAATATACAAAGGGGCTGAGAATGTAGCTCAGGGTGAAGGGCCTGGGTTCAATCCCCAGTACTGAGGGAAAAAATTTATCTGGGTGCTAGGCCCTGAAATAAATCTTAATAGACAGAAAATTCAAATTCAGGTAACTTCCTAGGACCACAATGCAATTAAATTAAAAATAAACAAAAAAATAAGTGTAGATATGCTATACATTTTGAAATTATAAAACATGCTTTTTGTTTGGTTGGTTTTGGTTTTTTGAGACAGGGTCTTGCTATGTAGGTCAGGCTGGCCTTCAATGTACTGTGTAGCCCAGGCTGGGCTCGAAATAGTGGCAATCCTCCTGCCTCAGCCTCCCAAAGGCTGGATTCCAGGTATGAATCACCACGGCTGGATAGTATTAAATAAAAGGCATCTGAATGCATATCTTGTCTTTCAGCAAGCGATTTGGTAGAGCAGGACATTCCTCCACTGAAGTCACCTCTGACCACTGTGGTGAAAGCAGAAGAAATCTCTGAAAACACACAGGCCCTTTGCCCCCAAGCAGGAAGCTGTGGATGCCCTGCCCCGCCCCGCCCGGGATGGATGAGCGCAGGCTGCCCTGTCCTGCTGGGTGGATGCCATTTCCACTGCACGCAGAGCTTTCTCAGAAAATCCCAAGCGAGGCGGCGAGGGCCCTGGGCTCTGCCTGGCGGCCGTCCACGGCAGGGGCCAACTCATGTCCTCCAGAAGCCGGCCCTGCTCGCTCCCCCGGAGCCACTGAGGCACAGCTGAGCCCTGAGGCCCCCACCCGCTCAGGCCCAGGCCCCTCGGTGGCTGCGGCTGCCCTCGGGCGAGACTGACCTTCTCCACGTCGGCCTTGGTGACATTGATGTCCGCATCCATTTTCTCGAAGTACTGCTGCGCCCGCTCGGCCTCCTTGCAGTCGCGCTCGAATCGCCGCTTGCTCTGCGGTGGGACAGCAGTGGGTGGCGTCAGGACCGCGGGCGCCTGAATGCTCCATGTGAAGCAGGGCACCAGGGGTCCTGCAGGGCGTCTTCCACTGTGAGGCAGCGTACACGCTGCGCCCCTCTATGAATGAGGCAGGAAATCCCCGCGCCAGGGCCAGGCAGTGGCCCCGATTTGTCCCTGGCCAGAGCCCGGAAGTGAGCCGAGACTCTGCCTGCCCCATCCAGGCTGTCTCATCTCTGCTCCTTCCAGCAGAACACGGGGCTTGGTCTCTTCTGGCTCCAACTGTCATTTGAGGCAACAGCTTTAGAAACAAATTAAATGAAATGTGGATGACACAATCTGTAAGAATGTCTCTGTGTTGTGTGTGTGTGTGTGTGTGTGTGTGTGAGACAGGGTCTGGCTATGTAGCTCAGGCTGGCCTCAAACTCATGGTGATCCTCCTGCTTCAGCCTCCCCAGTGCTTCCTTGGTTTGTTTTTTTCCTTCCTGAATAATTCAAGCCTACATTAAATGCAAATCAGAAAATACACGAAGACTTGGTTGAGCTGTTTTCTACTTACGGATTCAAGCTGCTTCCAGCAGGTCTCCATGTGCTGCTGCGCCTTCCGCCCATCATGGAAGTTCTGGACAGGGGAAGATACACAATGGTCAGGACTAATTAAAATAACACTGAAATTCCGATACCTGGGCCAAGGACAGGGCTCAGCACAGAGCGACTGCCTAACACAGGCCAGGCCCTGGCTTCTGTCCCCAGCACCATTAGGTAGATAAATCAATAAAAAAATAAAATAAGAGTCGGGCCTGGTGGCACATGCCTAATCCCTACCTTTAGGAGGCTGAGGCAGGAGGATTGCCACAAGTTTGAAGCCAGGCTAGGATACATAGTGAGTTTAAGGACAGCCTGAACTACATTGAGAGACCCTATCTCAAAAAAACCAGAATAAATTAATGAATAAATAATAAAGAAAGAAGGCAGCTGACTATGGACTAAAACCTCTAAAAACTGTGGGCTAAAATAAACTTTTCCTCTTTTAAAAGAAAACAAAGAGTGAAAGTAGATCTAGTATGTGTACAGCAAAACAATTTGAATTTAAAAATCCAACAAAAGAGGAAGTGAAAAGAACAGTCGGAGTATAAGACTATAGAAAAGCAATACTGAAGAGGAAGTCATATTTATCTTGAGAAAACCCAACAGGAAGGGTTTAAGACGTGGATCACTTTGATCACCTTTTTGCTATTGAGACATAAAGGACATTTAAATTTTTATTTATTTATTTTTGAGTTCTTGAGGCCTAGTCTCGCTGTACGGCCTTGAAGTCATTATGTAGCCCAGGCTGACCTCGAGCTAGAGGCCATCCTCCTGCCTCAGCCTCCTGAGTGCTGGGATTACAGGCATGCACCACTGTGCCCGGCTTCTGTAGGACATTTTTAGAGGATTTGCCCCCTTGAATTTTATAACTGAATGGATTTCTGAAGGGTCACAAGACTGTCCAACCCTCAGTACAACTCAGCCTAGAACATTTTCATCAGCCCAGAAAGAAAAAATCCTGTCTCCTGCTGTCACCCTCCAGGCCCACGAGGCTGTGGCTCCGGACAGGACGAGCAGCGGGGAGAGAACCACAGTGGCCTGTGCCTCGTGCCTTCTCCCTCCCAGGGCTCCCGTGGACCCTCCCAAGTGCAGGGCCCGAGTCCCTCTGCAGGGCAGCGTGTGTGAAAGGACTGGGAGCCAGATCCGGGCCAGAAGAGTGGGCGAGCCTCAGGGCTGGGCCTCTGGGCTGAGCCAGGATGACTCAGTTCACAGCTCAGTGGTAGGTTGCTTGCCCAGTCTGAGTCATCAGCCTGTCTGTTGTCCCCCCACCTCTGTGGCACTGGGGATCAAACCCAGGGTCTTGTGCTTGGCAAACTGGCATTCTACCCTGAGCTATATTTTACCCCCTGGTTGGGAGTGGTGGCAGATGCCTGCCATCCTAGCAATTTGGAGGCTGAAGCAAGAGGATCGCTGTGAGTTCAACGCCAGCCTGGGCTACATAGTGAGTTCAGGATCAGCCTGAATTATGTGGCAAGACCCTGCCTAAAAAGAAAAGTAAAGAATTCCCAAATATATTTTATCCCAGTCCTCCCGATTTGGAGGAGGGGGTACTAAGTACTGACCCCAGGGCCTTCACACTGAGCTATCTCCAGCCTCTTTCTATTTTGTATTTTGAGACAGGATCTCCTTAGATCACTAAGTTGCCCAGGCTGGGCTCAAACCTTTGACCTTCCTGCCTCAGCCTCCTAGAACACAGCTCACAGGTGTGGGCCATCACACCTGGCTTCCCTGGTCTGCTGGTCAGGCTGTGTTTCTGGGCGGGTCAGATGGCAGATTCGGAGAGGCCAGGAGCGGCCTGAGGGTGCTGGGCCAGGCCGAGGCGGGCTGGGACAGGAAGGAGGAAGGACAGAGGCGGACCTTTGGCCTCAATTAAGGTCAGGATGCACGCTGAGCCGGAGGGGAGAGCAGCAGCACTGAGATCTGCACTACACTGCCGGCAGGCACACACTGCTGGGAACCAGTGGCCTGGCTGTGCTCTCCTTCCCGGAAGGCAGATCGGCAGATCGGCAGATCGGGACTGAGGAGACCTGCAGACCACGCCTCCCTGCTCGGCTCCGCCCTGCCTTTATCCCCAGGGACTGACGTGGGGGGGGCAGGGAAGTGGGGGGGGCAGGGACGTCGCCTGCCCTCTGGCTCTGATCAGATCGGATCCCCCAGGGACTCTCGGCCCCATCCGAGGCAAGAATGTGTCTAGCTCTCTGGACCAAAGGCCACAGGACCCTAAAGCACCACCCGTGACTCCGTGTGACCAGCCCTGGGGAACTGCACCCGTCAGAGCTTTTCCCAAACTGAAGCTTGTCCACACCATGCACATCACTGGAAATGCTCTTTTTTATTTTTATTTTTTTGAGACAAGGTCTTATTCTGAGGCTGGTACTCTACTCACTATGTAGTTCTGGCTGGCCCTGAACTCACAGCAATCCTCCTGCCTCAGCCTCCTGGGTACTGGGATTTCAGGCATGCACCACAGAAATGCTACTTTTATCTTTCTTTTTTCAGTACTAGGGATGGAACCCAGGGCTGGTGCATGCTAGGCAAGTGCTCTACCACTGAGTTCCATTTCCAGCCTGGAAATGCTCCTTTTAATACATGACCTTCCACCAGGTGTGGTGGCACTGGCCTCCCAGAGGCTGAGGGAGAAGGATGGAAAGTTTGAGTCCAGCATGGGCAACATGGACACCTGAGACTCTGTCTCAGAATAAAAAATAAAAAGGCCAGGGCCGGGGATTTAGCTCAGTGGTTCCGCCACCTGCCTCATAAGCGCAAGGACCAGAGTTCGATCCCCAGTACCAAAAAGTAAAAAGGCCAGCCCGGCAATTTAGCTCAGTGGTTCTGGTGCCGGCCTCGAAAGTGCAAGGTCCCGAGTTCGATCCCCTGCACGAAAAAAGAAAAAAAAAAAAAAAAGTAAAAAGGCCAGACGGATGTAGCTCAGGGTGAAGGCCCTGGATTCAATTCCTGGTACCGCAATAAAAGGAATAAACCAGCTTTTTGCAGACGAAGGGTTGAACGTGCTGTTCCCCGCCCGCCTGCCCGCCAGGGAGTGCATAGTGCAGAAGGCGCCTGGTCCTCAGCTGAGCCCTGAGCCAGAACCTCACCCAGGCAGCCAGGACAGGGCTGGAGGATCAGCCTTTCCCCGAACAGACCGCCTTTCTTCCCTGTATCCCACTGCTACTGTCTCTCTGGGAGGTCGAATTTCCCGGTGTCCAGGGCCTCCTTACAGGGAGGCTGAGCCACCCGCTTCCCCCTCTCCTCTTGGAGCTTCAGGGAGCCTCCAGGGACTTCGGTTTTCAGCCCCACAATGGAGATGGGGACAAAGCAGACAAGAGCTAGTCTAAGGTGAGGAATAGTAGCAAGCAAGGCCCGGGCGGATGGGAGACACAGAGCAGGCCAGGGCGTGGACACTCGCCGCGGGGGAGGACACGACCGAGCTGGTGTCACCTTCAGTGAATGAATGGAGGGGAGGGGGCAGGCAGCCCGGCCTCCAGACGGCAGACAGGGAGGAACTTGGGAGGGACGGAGGGAGGGGCTTGTCATCCCCAGGAGGTCCACAGACCCGTGCAGAACAGGAAAACCTCTGTGCCACTTCCAAGCTCTGACTGACTATCTCCACAGCAACACTTGCTGCTGTTGCTTTTGGGTTTGGTCTTTTGAGACAGGGTCCTGCTATGTATATAGTTCTGGCTATACTTACACTCGCCGTACAGCCCAGGCTGGCCTTGACTTCCTGACGATCCTCCTGCCTCAGCCTCCTGAGAGCGGGGATTCCAGGCGTGTGGCCCAGCCCAGCACCTACATGTATTTGTACCTCACTTCACTGGCGGCTCCCGCCAGGAGTGAAGAATCCCCGAACTGAGAGCACCTCGACCTTGAAGCCGTGGTTTTCAGGGGCTCCCTGAGCAGAGCCCTAGGGACGGCGCCCTCTGCCTGGTCCCTGTCACCGCCCGAGGCCTCTGGAATTTACTCGGCTCCACAGCACACAGAACCCTTTTGGTTCAGGTGAACCTGCAGAAAACGCAGGACTGGCAACAGCCCTGTGACCCCGGCCCCTTTGGCCGGAAGCGGCTGTGACAAAGTCAAATAACTGGGGTTGCACCCTGGGAGCCCTGTGTTCATAAGGAGCTCGGCAGAGTGCTTGCTGCTCCTCGGATGGACAAGGCTGGCTCTGCTCTGCAGGGAGCCGTCCTCAGGACAGGGCCAGCCAGGCCTCTGTGGGCCGGGGGAGGCAATGGCAGCTCCTGCCGCCTGTCAGAAGAGACAGGGAGGCCAGGCGGGGGCCCAAGAGCCCTTCCTCCCTCGTCACGAGGTTCGGGGTTTCCTTTAAAACATAAGAATGGGCAGAAAAGGCTGACGGTATCCGGGTGATGGCTACAAATGTTTCTGTTCTTTTTTCTTTTGTTTTTGAGACAGGGTCTCAATATGCAGTTTAGGCTGGCCTGGAACTCCCAGCGATCCTCCTGCCTCAGCCTCCCAAGTCCTGGGATGACAGGCGTGCACCACCACACCTGGCTCCAGTGGCAGGTTTTAAGAAGATTTTACTGTATGGCAGGAAGTCAGACTGAGGCTAAAGAGGAACAGTAAGAATGTGTATTACTCACACCAGAGTGAGGAGGGCACATGCTCACCTTGCTGTGAGTGTAGATATTAAACCACAAAGGTTAACAAAGCAAGGCACAGCACAGAGCTGGGTGCAGTGATGCTCAACCAAAATCCCAGCATCCAGGAGGCTGAGGCAGGAATGTTGCCCTGAGTTTAATGCTAACCTGAACTACATAGCAACACTCTGTCTCAAAAACAAACCAATAGGGCTGGGGATTTAGCTCAATGGTTCCGCTGCCTGCCTCGCAACCACAAGGTCCTGAGTTTGATCCCTGGTACCAAAAAACATATATACATATATATACATATATATATATGTATATATAAAAATATATATATAAAATAAATCAAATCAAAGGTACAGCGTAGGAGAAGGACGACTGGGGGAAAGGGGCCTCTGACCCCACTGTCCGCACTGGGATGAGACAGACCCCATGCCCGCGGCACAGGTGAGGATGAAGGGCAGTGCAGGGGTCGCTGGCTGCTACAGGCTACACGACGGACCCTCACTCTCGGGCTTAAGTGTACAGCCCAGGTCATCAGCGCCACTTAAACATCATGGGCTTTATGCCTCTACTCTCACTCTCTGGGAGGCTGAGGCAGGAAGATCGCTAGTTCGAGCCTAGCCAGGGCAACTTAATGAGACCCTGTGTCTCAAAATTTTAGAAAAATTTTAAAATGTGATAAGAATGTAGCTCAATGCAAAAAGCCCTGTGTTCGATCTCCAGTGCTGAATGAAAGAGCCAGGTGTGTGGTGCCCACCTGAACTCTCAGCACTGGGGAGACCAAGGCCAAATAGGAGGCCAGCCTGGGCTGCAGAGTGAGTTCAAGGCCTGCCTGAGGTACAGGCTTTTTTTTTTTTTTTTTGTCTTACAAACAAAAACAACAAAATGATAGTGTTTTAATGGCTACATTATGTGATCCTTCAAGGTATTTGTTTATTTGTAGTTTTAGAGACAGGACTAGCCTTGAACGTGTGATCCTCCTGCCTCAGCCTCCCTGGTATCTAGGATCATAGGCGTGGGCCCCCCTGCCCAGCTCTGAGCCCCTTCAAAACAATGGTAACTGGTAGCTGTTATAGAGAAGAAAGGAGGACTGCTCGGGTGGGTTTACACTTAAACCCCACAAGTACATGTTTGTTTACGGCATTCTCTGCAGTACCTCCCAAGCCTTGCCATTTTCTAAAATGCTGCTTTAATTTAATTACAGCAGCTTCCCTGAGTGTGCACAATGCCTCGGATCCTCCCAACAAAACATCTGACTCAGAGCCCTGGCCTGGTAATTCTTCTTAAAATAAAAGGATGTTATCAATTACCAGATGCTATTTAATGTAGATCGGGACCACTGATAATTTCCTCCACAAATTACTATCACTTTTTATTTTTAAAAAGGAACAGAATGCAAAAAGCACAACTATAAAAAAGATGGCAATTAGCAGAGTGTAAGTGAGATACACAGCCTGGTCCCAGGACACAAAGGAGCCGAGCAGCTGAGGCTGCGGAGGCTCCAAGCCCAGTGCCAGAGTGGCAGTGGCCAGGCCTCGGCCACACCCTGCTGCCTCTGCTTCTCACACTCAGCCCTCTGCAGTACTTACTAAGCACCTGCCCCTTCCCCCAGCCTCGCAGCCACTGTGCCAGGAACGGGGTGGACATGAAAGCCCCACCCTTGGGGAGGTTGGAGTTCAAGAAAAACAAGCAAGCACGTAAACCTGGTAGCTGCTAAACCTGGGCCTAGTGGTGCACACCTGTTATCCCAGCACTCAGGAGGCTGAGGCAGGAGGATCGCAGAGTTTGAGGGCAGCCTGGGCTACATATTGAGACTCTGTCTCAAAACAAACAAATGCTAGCTGCTGGGAGCCAATGCATCAGGAAAGTATGTGCTAAATGTGCACAGGGCCCTGGTTTTCATCGCTAGCAACCTCTGCCCAGGGGAGAAAAAGCTAGCTACCCGTAAACACTAGGGAAAAGGTTGACACAGGGAAAGGTGTAGCGTGAATGGAGTTGCAAAGGTGAGGTGAACAGAGGGACTCTGGGCAGGAAAGACTTTGTTAAGGAGGTGTCAGTCCTGACAAACAGGTCAGGAGTGTCCTGGGAGAGGAGTAGAAAGGACCCCAAGGAGAGAAGCCATGCAAAGGGCCTGGGGCCACCGAGCTGGTGAAAGGGGGTCCTGGTGCTGGGGAGGAATCAGGAGGGAGGAAGGGGCTGGGCTGAGGGCTTCTGTCCCAGGACTCACTCCAGAGACAGAACCAGGATTTCCTACTAAGCAGCCACATGATTCTGTTAGGAACTTGGCCTAATGCTGAGCTTCCTAGGTGGGGAAAGGTCAGGGAGAGACACGTGGAACAGAAGTCAGGACAATGGACAGGATGAGGCCAGAGCTCTGTGAGGCTGACAGAAGGTCGGCAATTGGAAGCCGGTGGTGTGCTTGGGTTTGTTGGATTTGCTTTATCATTTCTGAGACAGGGTCATGCTAAATCACTGAACTGCTCAGGCTGGGTTGGAACTTGCAATCTTCCTGCCTCATGCCTCAGCCTCCCAGAATGCTGGGAATACTACCACGTGAGTTTCACAGGGTCTGGGAGACTCAACATTGTATGTGGAGACCTAGAAATTTTTTTGTTTTTTTGAGACACGGTCTTGCTATGTAGTTCAGGCTGGCCTTGAACTTACTGTGTAGCCCAGGCTGGCCTCAAATTTGTAGTGATCTTCCTGCCTCAGCCTCCCAAATGCTGGGATTACAGGTGTGCGCCACCACGCCAGACTAGAAACATTGCTTTAGGAACAGGAGCCATAACATTTATACAGCTCTCAGAGGCCTCGGCTTTCACCTGAACCCTGGCGGGGTTGTTCCCACCGCCACGGGTCAGTCTTCTAGGAAGGGAAACCAGGGTAGTTACCGCTTTCCGCTCCTGCTTCAGCTCCTGGACGTATCGGGCCAGGTCCACCATGATCTGGGCCGTCATGTTCTCGGAGATGACCTCGTGCTGCCCGGCATAGTCGCTGGTCTCGTGCAGCGTGGACAGGAAGGCTTGGCACGATGTGTACCTGGGGACACAGCTCGGCTCCTTCGAAACCAGGCCCCGTCCGGCGCCTCCCCAGCCGGGAGAGTAATTAAAGCTGGGTGAGTGCGCGCCAACCTCCCACGGGGCCCGGCGACTCCTGATGCATCTCCGGTTCTCAGCAAAGTGGCTCAGAATTAATTACAGCCAAACATTTCTATTTTAGTTAACTTCGGGAATGCTTAGTGCAGACATAATCCAAACACCTACACACGCTGTGTACCAACACTGCAGACTCAGTTCCGAATCACAGACTTAATATACAGTCCCAGCTCTCGGGAGGCTGAGGGAGGAGGAGTGCCACTAGTTCCATACCAGCCTGGGCTGCAAGTTCAAGGCCAGCCTGAACCAAACAGTGAGACAAAAGCCAGAAGCAAATCAGTCGATTCAGCTCTCACAGATAGAACTTTGGGGCTGTCTCAGCTGAGACGCTTTCAGTGCAGATGGAAACAGACATATTTTTAGGCTGAGTGAGCAGCTGCTGTTACAGAAGCAAACCCGAGCTCTGGAGTGTATGACCTGTGCCTCATACACGTGCTTAGGTTGCATATTGTGACATCCTTCATCACCTTAATGGAAATCATCAGGAACAGGACCAGCGGCTCAGTATAAAACAAGCTAATTAAATATACTTTTCTTCTTCTCTCCCAATTTAATAACTGACTCAAATCAGAGTGTAGAATGCGACCTTTTTGATTTTTTTTCTTTGAGACAGGGTCTGGCTATGTAATTCAGGCTGGCCTTGAACTCAGGTTGATCTTGAGCTTGTGGCGATCCTCCTGCCTCAGCCTCCTGAGTGTTGGGATAACAGGTGTGGGCTACCAAGCCTGGCAGCCTATTTTTATAGATCTGCTTTCTTCCAGTCCCCCATGCGTCCCACCCAGGGCATGAAAACACCCCCACCAATCCCCACTGACGCACATACTTGTATTCTTCCTCCTCCTTGGAGTTCTTTTTTGGTTGGTATTTCTTCGAAAGATTCCTAAAACAAGAATGACACAGCAGCTGATTTAGAAAGATAATCAAGAAATCAGGCATCAGTGCTTTGTTTATGAGCTTTTTTTCTTTTTTGGTACCGAGGATTGAACACGGGTCCTTGTGCTTGCGCAGCAGGCCCAGAAACTGTTTACAAGCTTTTGAACACACACACACACACACACACACACACACACACCCTCCGCAGCTGGAATCCATCTCCCCACCCCCACCTCAGGCTGAGGCTCCCACTAGTAACAACCTCTGACCTCTGACCTCCTGGGCAGAGCAAATCAGAACGGGAAATGGTGATGGGGTCAAGTCCCCAGGGTGGGCAGTGCTCTCCACCTGCAGCTGTTCCTCCTACTGGGTGGCCGCTTCCCTTCGGTCACCCTTAGTTGGCCACTCCTACCCCAAATCCAAGCAAAACTGAGCCCGAATGTTTAAAGCAAAAGCCCAAGTGGCCATGGTGCGTTTCGGGGGCAGTGGCTGGCACCAGTGAGCTGTTACACATGCGGAGCCAGAGAACCCAGATTGTGGGCCAGTGGGAAAGTCGGGCCTGCTGTCCAGCGCCTGTCCATCAGATCCCGCCTGGGAGGGACTCCCGGGGCGGGTGCCCTGAGCTCCGATGGGTCCACCCGACAGTGCCCACAAAGACAGATGCTGGGTCTAGAGCTTTCTTAAAAGCACTGGGAATAATTCACCCCATCAACATGGGCAGGAGCCTCGAGGTAAAGAGGAACTTGCATCCAGGGACATTTCTCTCAAAGAACCCACGGAGAAGAAATGACCTCTCCATTTCCAAGCCCTCGGGTCAGGCTTCCTTGCCCTAGCTGCATGAAATTATTTTAAAGACAGCACAAAAAACATCATCTTTAGATTTGTGGGGCCAGGCATGGTGGCAAATGCATGTGATCCCAACGCTTAGGAGGCTGAGGCAGGAGGATTGCCGCCTGTGAGTTTGAGGCCAGCCTGAACTACAGTGAGATCCTGTCTCAAAAAATCAAAAATAGGGCTGGAGATTTAGCTCAGTGGCACCACGCCTGCCTCTCAAGCATAAGGTCCTGAGTTCAATCCCCAGTGCCAAAAAACAAAAGAGAATAAAAATAAATAAGCATAAATTGATCTCTTGGAGAACCCGGAAGCGTTTACTCAACTCACTGTGCAGCAGACTGAAAAGGAAGAGGAAAACACCCACACTTCCCTGCAAATGCGGGGTGCAGACCTGCTGGGCCTGAGGAGCAGGCAGGTTCCCAGAGTCAGACACGGGGCCCTGCTCCAGTCCTCTGAGACACCAGGGCCAGGGTGGCCCGGGATGCTTGGTTTCTCTTTTATTTCTTTAATGCTCACCACCAAATTTCTGGACAAAGGCAGCAGAGTAAAATTCAACCACAGAACAGTGCTTTCCTGACAACGAAATGTAAAAAACAAAGGCCAGGAAAAATTTTCTTTCTTTTCTTGGCGGGGTGAGGCTGAGATGGAGTCTCACAATGTAGTACAAGCTGGCCATGAACTTGATGATGCTCCTGCCTCAGCCTCCAATGGGAGAAAACAAACCCTCAGTCCACAGGCTTCAAGAAAAGGTGACAGAGAGAGACCGAAGACTGGCTGCTGATGGCCACAGGACCCAATTCAGACAGAAGTGGTGGGCCGGGTAGGAAGGAGGCCAAGACGGAGAGGCGGGGACTCTGCCATCGGGATCCAAGCACAAAGAGCACAAGGTGCACCCCAGACCTGGGGCCTCTCTGTTGAAGGGACTCGGCCTGCAGCAGGAGAGCCTCCAAGCTTCACAAGCAACAGCTGGGTGTCAAGCCAGGCCTTTCCCAGCCCAGCTTCTGGTCCCCCAGGAAGAACATCGCCCGGGCCTCAGGAGGACTCAGGGAACAGAGAGGAGGTGCCCAGCACCCACTGCTCTTCCCACTCTCAGATGCAGGTGACAAGATCAGGGACCAGTCTGTCCCCAAATCCCACTGCTACTGAGAGCAAGATGGGGGACATCTCAGGTACTGAGCTCTGAAAGCGGAACTCAGACACTTGGCCACACTGCACGAATTAGACAGAAGCCAAGTGAAAAGGTTTGTCACAGCAGGGGAGAAAGGAAGGGAGGAAGGAGCTGGAGTGGAGATGCATGTCTGTCACCCTGGCACTCAGGAGGCTGAGGCAGGAGGATTGCTGTGAGTTTGGGCTACATAGAGAAACCCTGTCTCAAAAACAAACAAACAAACAAGAAAATAGTTGCTATAGACAATAATTGATTCTCCTACTCAGACCCTATGTGATATTAGGGGGCCAGTTACTGCACATGCCTGGGGTCTCAGCTGCTTGGGAGGCTGAGGCATAGGGATTGCTTGAGACCAGCCTAAGCCCCACAGTAGGATCCTGGCTCTAAAAGGTGACAAACAAAATTATTTTGTTTTTTGAGAGAGGGTTTCATGGTGATCCTCCTGCCTCAGCCTTCCGAGTGCTAGGATTATAGGTGTGCGCCACCATGCTCTGCTGCCTGCAAACCAATTCCATTAGAAATTTCAACTGGCACAGCCTGGACCAGCGTGTGATCTCCAGCCAGGGCTTCAGTCTCTGCTACAGCTCCACTGTGTGGCCTTGAAAGAGGAGCTGGGTGCGCACCACACCTGCAGCAGGCCTGGGGTTTGGTCCTCGGCACCACAAAGAATACGCAAATAACTGCATAATGGTGAATAAAATGAAACAAAAAAAGCAGCCGATATGTAAATGTGGGCGTGGCCACATCTGATACACTTCTTTATGGCCTGGAATCGACAGGGGGAGGGAGCCCTACCTAACGCTGTGAGAAAACCTACTGAATGCACAAGTCTTTCTCAGCAGAAAGGCCACACTGGTTTCACAGGACCACTCTGACATCTCCAGCAAGCATTTGTGGAGTAAGCTCTGCCCACGCTGGCCTCTCTCACCCTGCGCCTGCCTTAGGACCTTGGCACTGCCTGCTCTCCAACCTGGAGGAGCTCCCACCACAGCCCACGTGCTGGCTGCTTTCTGTCCCTTGGTTCTCAAGCATGGGTTTTTCCCTGACACTCAGAGCCCAGAGCCAGGCGACGCTCTCTACCACATTGCTGGTGCTGTGCAGTGGGAAAGGTAAATGCCAGCTTTTTCTGTTTGTTTTTTGAGACAGGGCTAGCTACATAGGTCAGGCTAGCTTTGATCTCATTACCTAGCTCAGTGACTCAATACTTGCAGCAATCCTCCTGCCTCAGCCTCCCGAGCACTGGGATTGAAGGTGCATGGCACCAGGCTGGGCTGATAAACGCTATCTTTAAATGATGTAGGTCTTGCTTACTCGAGAGGAGTCTGCTTTCCCCAGCTCGGGCGCTGCCCGTGTCCTAGTGACCAGAACCTCGGTCCCCTGTCAGTTGCTCTACCTGTCGTTGAACCCATTCACTCAGTCCCTGCAAACACACAACTCCACATCCAGCCATGCTGGCCAGGCAGCTCTGTCCTGCAGCCGGTGGACTCACACTTCCTACAAACGAGCTCCCACCTCAGATGGCTCAGTGGCCCCAGGTTCACCAGGCACAGGGCTTCCGGTCCAGACAGCTGAACCGGGATACGACGTAGAAGAAGCAGACATGAGGTTAGAGAGATGCTGGGCAAAGGATACAAAATTTTGGTTAGAGGAACTGCTCACGATCTACTGCTCTGCATGGGGACGCCCACTCCCAGTACTCCGGGAGGGAGGCTGAGGCAGGAAGAGGGCAAGTTCAAGGCCAGGCTAGAGACATGGCAGTGCAAAGGCCCTGGCGTGAATCACCAGTACCAAAAGGACAAAAAGCTCTCTGGGAGGGAAGAAGGACACACTTGGAAACTGCTAAGAGAGCCTGTGCTCTCACCACAGAAACTTAAGTACATGGGCGGTGAGGCTGCTAGTGAGCTCCACTCACCGTTAAATATGGCCAGAGGGTGAGGGGGTGGAGAGATGTCTTGAGGGATGGGCAGGTGGTAGCAGCCAGGGGCTCTGCTGCGCATCCCTGTGATGACAGAAACGGGCACTGGCATCGGGCGTCTGTGGGTGGAGACAGGAGCAGCCCGGTGAGTGCAGGCAGAGCGCTGGCTTTTGACCGCTCCTGGAGGCAGTGGGATGGGGAGGGGGTGAGGGTCGGACGAGCTAAGAAACCTGTGGTACAGTCCCTCGGGACACTGCGAACACAACCTGGCCGGTGTCCACTGTGTGACCTCATGGGAGAAGCCCAAAAAGCCGGGCGTGGTGACACACAACTATGATCCCAGCTCTCTGCAAAACCTTATCTCAAAAAACACACATACAGGCCTGGGGACTTAGCCCAGTAGTTTCGCCACCTGCTGCACAAGCCCAAGGACTGAGTTCGATCCCTGGTGCCAAACAAACAAAAAAACACACACACAGAGGAAGAAGGAAGAGGCGGAAGAACAGACACAGGCTGGGAGGGTAGCCGAGCAGCAAGCAGTGTGCTTGGCCAGCACAAGCCAGGCCCTGGGCCCCACCCCAGCACCAGGTGCACACATGCACACACACACACACACACACACGTGCACACACACGCGCGCACGGGCAGAACTGACCTAATGCTATCTCCCAACAGCCCTCCAAAAACACAAGAGAGACTCCCTAAGGGAGACCATGGGAAGAGACGCTGCTTTGTCCAGGCTGAGGCTGCTATTAAGCCATTTCCTGTGAAAGGCAACGATGCATTATGACTAATGGTGCAGAGCTTAACTAATGGACATGAAGGGGACCATTTCCCTCCCTACTCTCAGGGCCAAGAGCCTTCAAGTGCTGGCAGGGCTTCGACACACAGGGTGCTAGGCCTAATGTGGGTCCGGCAGCTTAGATAAGTTATTTCATTGAATTGAACTCACTATGAGGACCAGTCTGGCCTTGAACTTGCAGTGACCCTCCTGCCTCAGCCTCCAGAGTAGAGGCTAGATGCTTACTTAAACAACAGTGACGACAACCCTGTGAAAATCTATGTTCTTTCATCATCACAATGCATTGCTTGTGCTCACTCTGGATGAAAACTCGATGTTTCTAAAAGTAAAAATCACGGCCTGGTGTGGTCCCACACACCTGTCATCCCAGCACGCAGGAGGCTGAGGCAGGAGGATTGTCTTGAATTTGAGGCCAACTTGGGCTACACAGAATTCAAGGCCAGCCTGGACTGAGACTCTGCCTCAACAAACAAATGGGGCTGAGGCTGTGGTGTGCAGCAGGTTCAGGGCCTCCAGCATGGCAGTAAAAACAAGACACAAAACCAAGCCTAAAAGCGGCGCCTTGCTCTTTATTTTTATTGCTCTGCAGGATTAATTTTCTGTACTGAAACAACTGCTTCTGCTGAGCTCGGCCTGGGACGGGCAGGGATACCTACCTAAGCTGCTTGGCATAGCTGAGCTCAATCTCCGTCCTCTCCTTCACGAACTTGATGTACTTCTCCAGGAGGTCGATGCCCCACTGCGTGTGCTTCTCCAGGCTGTCAAACTGGTCCTGGAGGGAGAGGGAGGTGGACACGCTCAGCCTCCGTGGGCCCCAGCGCTCCTGGCGCTCCCGGCCCACATTCCCTCGTTCGGCTGCAGGAGTGCGGGGCGCGCTGGGCTCCTCGAGGCTCATCCGGTCTCCTTGTCCCTGGAGAAACCACTCTGGATGAGACGGTGTCCGGGTGGAAGGAGGTCGCCCTTCCCCGATGCCACCAGCCGACCTCTGAGCTGGCACCATGGGGGCACCGAGCAGGGGCCGAGTGGGCAGGGAGGGGAGGACTCTGCGTCTCCCGGTGGGTGAAGCAGCCCCACATGCACGAGCCTCACTGGGTGCCCAGGCCAGCGCTTGGCCCTGGGGATACAAGGTTTGCCAGCCACAGCTATTCTGAGGGCCGGGGTGCCCCCGACACCAGCGGGGTGGCCCCTTAGTGGCCTGAGGGTGAGCGGGGACAAGGGGTGGGTGTGGGGGTGAGATCAGAGACAGGGCAGGGCGGGTCACTGGCCAGGGCCTTAAATGCCAAGCTCAGTGCCCGGTGACCCAGGACCTGCAGGGGTGGCCAGGCCACAGGGCTGTTTCCGGTCATTGGGCCGAGCGAGAATCAGCAGGCTGTCTTCAGGGTCCAGGGGCCAGGGACCTGAGGGAGCATGGGGACCCCAGGGGGCTCTCAGGCTCTGCTGCCTGCGACTGTGGGCTTCAACCCAGAGCTCAGAGAGCCTGTCCGAGCCCAAGGAGCAGTGGGCACGGTGGATCCAAAGACACGGCCAAGGATTGGGGCCAGGAAGCAGCGCTGAACAGGAGCCGGAGAGCAGCTGGCCAGGAGGCGGAGGTGGACTAGGGCCAGACAGGCCCAGCGTCCAGGGAGGGAGGGGGCAGGACACACAGGCCACTGCCTCCGGGCTGCAGAATGGGATGAGGTGCTGGCCCTGCAGCGCTCTGCATGGAGACCCAACCCCGTGTGATGCCTGTCATCCTGGCGCTGGAGCTGGAGGCTGAGGCAGGAGGATCGCCAGAATTCAAGGCCAATCTGGGCTACACAGTAAGCTCAAGGCCAGCCTAGACTGCGTAACGAGACCTTGATTCAAACAAACAAACAACCCCCCCCAAATAAAAATCCAAAGTTGTGCAAAATATAAAATAAACAGGGTCTTGTTGGAAGTCAGATTTGGGCAGAGGAGGACAGGGGAGGTAAAAAGTCAAAATCACTTTTTCTCAAACTTAAGAAACCTCACTGCCTACAGTGGCACACACCTGTAGTACCAGCTACTTGGGAGGCTGAAGCAGAAGGATCTCAAGTTCTTGACCAGCCTAGGCAATTTGGCAAGGTCTTGTCTCAATATAAAGAGGATGAAAGACAGCTCAGCACTCCCGGGGTTCAGTCCCCCATATCACTAACAAAAGCTTCTGGGAAAAAACTAATTTCCTCATTTACCTCCCCCAACCCTGGGCCCCAGAGAACAGCTGGAGAAACACCAGCTTAGGAAATTGAGGTCTGTCTTTACTAGGATTTCTCTCCAACTGAAAATAATCACTGTAGCCAGGAGCAGTGGTGCATGCCTGTCATCTCAGCACTTGGGAGGCTGAGGCAGGAGGATCTCTGTGAGTTCAAGGCCAGCCTGAGATACATAGTGAGACCCTGTCTCAAAAAAAAAAAAAAAAATCACTGTAAAATATCCAGTAGCTTTTAGGACAAGTACTTAAAGTTCTCACCGATTCTTGGCCCTCCATGGCATACGCCACAAAGCCCTGGGTTCCGCTTTGAGAAGGGTATTTATTTGTTACCTCCGCGACAAGGGTTGTTCGGCAGATACATAGTGCACACAGGACTGCAGGTCTCTCCAGAGCCCCAGAGAACAAATCACAACTGATTCAGGTACAGCTGCGAATCAGGTTCTTCAGAGAGCTCTGACAGGGACCCTTGTTTGGCTGATGTAGTTTGGGAGAAATCAAGTTTATGTTTAAAATGCTAAGAACTCCTGACCCGCAGAAAGGTCCTCTTTGGGCAATGCCACATTGCCCTTTTTTTTTTTTTTCAGTTTTTCTGAGATGGGGTCTCCTAGTTCGGGCTGGCTTTGACCTCACTCTGTAGCCCAGGCTGGCCTCAAACTCATGGCAATCCTCCTGCCTCAGCCTCCTGAGTGCTGGGATCACAGGCGTGAGCTACCATGCCCAGCACTGCTCCTAGATTTCTTTCTTGTGCTGTTAACAATCTGACAACATATTTTCCCCAACTACATTAGTTTGCAATTCACACATATATAACTGAGTCCTTGCTGAGGCGGGAGGTTCACAAGTTCAAGAGCACCCCAGGGCTGCGAAGAGAGACAATCTCTCAAAAGAATGCCAGCTGCGGGGTGGGAGATTTAGCTCAGTGGTATCGAAGCCTGCTGCGCGAGTGCAAGGACCCAAGTTTGATCCCCGGTACTAAAAACAAAAAAAATGCCAGCTACTGGCCTCCACCAGATCACCAGGCACTCTGGTGCACCCTATGGTCACAGGTATTCGGGAGGCTGAAACAGGAGGGTTGCTTGACTTAAGAGTTCTAGACCAGCCTGGGCAACAAGGCAAAACCCTGTTTCAAAAAAACACACAATACTGTACTGGTCTCAGCCTACATGCTGTTTCTGAATAAAGTGTATTTGTGCTCATGACCTCCCTGCAGCCGGGCGCCTGTCATCCCAGCACTCAGGAGGCTGAGGCAGGAGAATCAATGGGGTTTGAGGCCAGTCTGGGCTACATAGTGAGTTCACCTGGACTACATAGTGAGACCCTGTCTCAAAAAGCAAAACGAAACAAAACGAGACCACCCTGGAAGCTGGTCCAAGCCCGCGGTAAAATGACAGATCTTAATAACAAAGCCCAGACAGTAACAAAACCCACCCTTGCTGTGCACTATTGCTCCTCAGGCAGCGCGGGCTTTTTTGTCAGCAGCTACAAGAAAATTCAAAACAGATGAAAAACTAATCAACCACGTACATTCTTGACTAAAACCTGGAAAAGTTAATGGAAAAAAATTCCAAATCTTAAAAAGACTCTCTTGTGAACAAATATTATAAATGATCCTTTAAAAATTAGCCTTTGCTACTTTGGGGATGGGACATTATCAAAAATGCATCCCTTCCTGCTTGCTGCCATGCAACAGCAGCTGAGATGTCTCCCCAGCCCTGTCAGAAGTCATTCAGGCCAGGCTTGGTGGCGTGCGCCCATAATCCCAGCATTCGGGAGGCTGAGGCAGGAGGATTGCTGACTGGGTTTGAGACCACACTGGGCTACATATCGAGACCCTGCCTCAGAAAAAATAAAAAATCAGAAATTAAAGAGATTTTTAAAATATCTATTAATTCATTTAAATAGACAATAAACATATCACATATTAATGAAAATGGCATATTTTTTATTTTTAAAAACTGATTTTGCAAAAAAAGAAAAACTAGTGGGAAGAGTGGATCTGTTTCACATTTGTTTTCCTGTTTTACATTTTTGCAGATCTCTCTGCCATCTGGCTTAACTGAAAACAGCTGGATTCGCCGATGCTTCTGCACTCAGCCTGCCGCTCCGGACTCTGCCTGCAGCAATGAAAAACTCCCCCTCCCCACGGATGGGTGGTCAGGAACAGCAGGGTTTCAATACTCTTTTTAGATAATCGTAGATATTCTTTGATATCACACTAACACCTTACAAATCATCTTTCAAAGGCTACTTGCAATGGAGTATCTGAAACCACAGGCGGGAATTTATCAAATTCGGTCACAATAAAATACTCTAGTCAACCTTGTTCTTTGGATTTGTTTTGTTTTTTGAGACAGGGTCTCCCTATGCAGTTGCAGCTGGCCTCAAACTCACTATGTGCCTCGAACTCGCAGCGATCCTCCTGCCTCAGCCTCCCAAGTGCTGGGAATACAGGCGTGCCTGGTTGAGTGGCTCTTTACCTGTGCATGATCAGGTAACAGTCTTCATCCGGCATTTAGAAAATATGATCTTGTTGGTTACACAGATGCTATCTTCTATGAACTGACACATTTCATTGTAAGATATCAAAAGCGCCTACTTGTTTATATCCCCGCCTAGCTCATCTTTTCTCAGTTGTTAAATATTTGGAAGCTCACAGAGGAAATACAACCTTCTCCAAATTCTAATTTTTACTGAAAAGCTGGAATGCTATTACTGGCAACAAACATTGGAAGTTGTTTCCCGGAAGTGACAGCTGTCTCCCTCCAACATTTCTGTCCATCCGGTTCTAGGAAAATAGCTGCCATGTGTTGCAGTCTGTCAATCATTCTTTCAGACAAAAGCAGTGTTCAGGGGGCTGGGGATGTAGCTCAGTTGCGCTGCACCTGCTGGGCAAGTACAAGGTCCTGAGTTCAATCCCAGGTACTGGAAAAAAAAAAAAAACAAGCAGTATTCAGGAAAAACCAACTTGTTATGACTCAATCGCATAAGTATTCTGGTGTGAGTGTGCAGAAGTGCTTTAGAAATACCCCTCATCTTAGCACGCTTACTATGAAAAACATGTATTGCTGGGCATGGCGTTCAATGCCTGTAACCCCTACACTCTGGGAGGCTGAAGCAGGAGGATCTCAATTTTAAGCCCAGCCTGGATAACTCAGGGACTCAACGAGACCCTGTCTGAAAACAAAAACAAAACCAGGCTGTGGATGTAGCTCAGTGCAAAGGCCCTGGGTCCAATCCCCAGTTGGGGAGGCCTGAAGTTTAATAAAATTAATAATCTTCACTGCTCCATCAAAGTCTTCGTTTTTTGGAGACAAGGTCTCGTTAGGTAGTTTAGGCTGTTCTTGAACTCACTAAGTAGCCCAGGCTGGCCTCAAACTCCTGGAGACCTTCTTGTCTCAGCCTCCTGAGGCTGGGACTATAGTCATACGCCACCACACCTGGCTACTCTAAAATTTTTAAGTTGCACATTTGCAAAGATGAAGAAAGCCAAGTAATGGAAGTCACTGTTTAATTTATGAGCATGGGCTATATATACCGGCTCTCAGGCATTCACTCTAAAA